CTGATCGATCGTTAGAAAGTGCCACCGTGGCTCTAGTGGAAACTGTCTCGCTTCAAAGCCAAGGGCTCACGGGTTTGCACCCCGTTGGCAGGAAAGCTTTTGTTTCCTCTTTTATCGATCTAGTATGGATTTGATTACATCTGTTGTTTCAGAACTGATCTGGTCTGATCCGACAATCCAAGGTTTTGGCGAGAAACTCGTTCCTGGCAGATCCCCTGAACACGATATCACATCAGGCATCAAGGCTCTATCGATGTACATAGGTCTTCAAAGTTCCACGGGAAGCTGAGGCGCTGGCTTTGGAGCGGCGCTCATTTTTCACCAACTGTGGAAGCGGGTGGACAACAATTATCGATGGGAAACAGGCTGGCGTCGCGCATCACCCATTGACACGCCTCAGCATCGGCAGAGAACAGGGCTGTGTATGCAACTCGGGCATTTTATACTATGAATGAATGACTGCTTAAGTGATTCAAACAACCAGAAATTGGCTAATGGTTGACAACCACCACCCGTAATGGAAACCAATTGAACTTTTGGATGTCTCGACGAATCTGTTAGATTTTACGCTAAGAAACCAGAAGATCTCACCTTGTATGCGTCCCTTCTTGCAATGAACTGATCAAAACCATCAAATACTCCATTGAGAACATTGACTACTTCCAAGGGAGAGGCAGTTTGGCATAGCTCAGTGAAACCGACAATATCGCTGAAAAGAATTATATTCTCAAGAGAACCTATACTTGACAACGTCTCAATTGGCACTGTCAGGAGAAGCGGAATGTTCCCGCCCTCGGCTGTTTCGCTGTACTGAAAGTGAACAATTAGTGATCAAAAGAAAATGATCAATGTTGGAGACACTGCGGGTGGGCCTATACCGTTGTTCTTGAAGCCCCCCCCCCTGAAAGCGACTATGTCAGCTGTATAAATTGTGATCGTAAGTCGCCATCAGGACACGCCATACGTTGGGGATCACCAGCGGACTGCTTGGTCGTTCCAGGAGGGGGGGGGGGGAAGAAAGTCGTATTTTGCTTTGGAAAGAGGTACGGTTATTGACTTTTCTTGCTTTAATCTATTTCACGTCTGCTCTTCACCCCACCTCCCCTCCCACTCCCACCCCATAAGCTTTTTGAGCGAAAATGGAGACATGAGACATTTTGCCAAACTCCGGAAAAGTGGTAGGATGCTGGCATATTTTAGGCATATGGTAAACGGGGATCGCACCAGAGGGGGAAATTTCGAGGAGGGCCGCACTTCGCACAAAATTTTTCTCCAACGGCAGGACTCGGCCAGCTGGCCTGCAACGACTCTGTAGGACTTTCGTCGGTTCCGATGAAACACCAGTGAAGAGGATAATTACTGGAAAGTTTTACCTAAAAAGTATAGTTGCTGAGGAATACATCTTTGGGGGAACTGGTTTCCCTAGCTTCAACTCACTGGCAACACATCTGAAATTAGAGCGTTTTACATTCCACAGGTTTCATATAGAATAATAGGCGATAAAAGTGATATTGAGAAACATTGGTTCAGAAAGGCATCAAACTTAAAGCTAGAAAAATTGCAAATTTAAACAACTTACGCCGGTAGCAGCTGACCCAACAGCTTATCGGCTCTCATATTTGCTTCTTCCAGCATTCCAGTCCGCTCTTGCACAAGTTTCTCAAGGTTGTTCGCATACTACAAATTGTGACGTACTTTTGAATTATGCACAGTCCGTATTGGAAAATAAAGGGCCTAGTTAAATACACGTGGCTGCGAATCCTAATACCAAGTTCTCATCTTTCACACATTCTCGTCTCTGCCTCGTACAGCATCGTGATGGGTGAAATGGTGACCCCCTGAGGGAGGGTGTCAGTACGACCGCCCAACCTACCTACCTACCGATTTCCCACATTTTCCAGCTTTCACCCAAAAATTTTCCGTCGAGTTCCTTCGAGAGCAGGGCATATAACGCTGTTTCATCGACGGGGGGGCATTCTGCTTTTCATAGATTTGCCAACCCATCTAGGTACCCTTTTTTCGAGTTGACACGTTTTAGGATGGTGGCTAGACGATCTTGCTCCAGCTTCACAAGCGTTCACAAAATTACCGGAGTGATTTGTAAACCGGAACCAGGTGAAGCGAATAATACAAAATGCCCCCTCCCTCCGCCGATAAAGAGCGCCTAGTACGCATGAAACAGGAAAATCACCAAAAGTCAACCACCACTCCTACAACGCCAAAACGTAAATACGACCCCCCCTCTCCCAACAATGACCAAGTACGACCCCCTCCCCCTTTACAACGTCCGTGAAGCGAGAAAATCAACTATCCGAATAAACCCCCTACTAGGGATTCCCCTCCCCAACAGCGAGAGAGGAGGGACTTGCATAGCCAATGTGAAACGGGAAAAACCGCGAAAGGTCAACAACCGAGAAAAATTTCTTCCCCAGCACGGCAACTTCCTCTCAAAGCCGCACACAACCCCCCCCCCCCCCCATGTGCTTCACACAACGACACTGTACCCTGCTGCCTCATGTGTTTATTGACACGTTGCAAGACGCAGAAAGCTCATATGATACCAAAAGAAAATTTGGAAGAACTCCGAAAGTCGCGTTCTCTTACTGAATTATTGTCAGACCAGTCGGATCGCCCGGCTGAAGCCGAGCTCTCCTCCTTCTCTTTAGCTGGCTTGGCTTCGCCAGGCGCACTTCATAATGGAAACGGAATTTGTTCATTCACTTAGCTGCTCATACTGCGCTGTTTTGATCGAATCGTAATAGATGGAGCAACCCACGCACGAGCTCACGTCTAGCT